TATGAACACCACAGAGCTGAATAGCATGAGTGTATTGCTATCTTTCACTTTTCAGTTGTTTACTTTTCACAGACTTCACTGCAGAATAAAAATTTGATCAACTTTCCTCCTGTCATTGACCACCCTCTCCACACACGCGCGCGTGTGTACACACACACACACACCACCCCACACACACCTTCCTACCACCCCATCTTCATAATATAGTTACATAGTAATTTTGGTTGGATCAGTATTCACAGTTTCTATTACTATGACAATATAAATGTTATTCAGAGCTGAACCATGTGTATTAATATATCATTACTTTTTCTTCCTGCACTTTTTTTCCCTGAAGTTAATATGTATATTGGTTTTTTTCCCCCTTAGTTTTTTCTGTACTTACAACTAATTCAACCCAGAACTACCTACCAATTGCCTGACTCTCCTCTCAATAAGTTAAGACAGTCGTGCATTCTGTCAATTTCATCTTCTCGGAGAAAGCTTGCCCTTTTCTCCTGCTCACATCTGGACAGACTGACCTTTAAGCCTGTGATCGCAATTCACCATCATTCTGGGTCTCCTTTGTGGATCTCCTATTTCCCGGATCCTGCAACTTCTTTCTTGGTTTATTCCTTTATTTTGGTGATACATATCCTTCCTAAGAAAGGGTGTGTGGGCGATAAATTTTCAGTGACCTTGATGTCTGAAAATGACGATTCCAACGGCACACATTTGATTGAAAGTCTGATGGGGCATGGGATTTTAGATGGACTGTAATTTTCCCTCAAAATTCTGAAGGTCGTACTTCGCTGAGTTTTAGCTTCCAGTGTTGCTGTTGAGAAGTCTGACGCCATCCTAACTCCTCGTTCTTTGATTGTGACCTGTTCGTTTCTCTCTGTGTTCTAAAATTTTACAATGATAGTACCTTGTTGTGGGTGTATTTTCATCTATTGTGGTGGCAAATCAGTGGGTCCTTTTAATCCGGAAATTTATGTCCTTAAATTCTGAGAAAATGTTAAATGATTTTGTTGGTGGGTTCCTTTTTTCTGTGTTCTCTCATCTCTCTGGTTTTCCTGTTACTCAGATAATGGATCTCTTAGACTAGTCTTCTAACTTTTTTATCTTATTCTGTCCTAGTCTCCATTATTTTGTCTTTCTCTCTACTTTCTTAGAAATTTCTTCAATTCTGCCTTCTGAATCTTCTTTAGAATTTTTCATCTGTGCCATCATGTTTTCAATTTCCAAAATCTTTATTTTGTTTTCTGAACTGCGCTGTTCTTGTTTTATGGTTGCAATTTCTTTTCTTACCTCTCTGAAGATATAAATGATTACTTTACTGAAGTTTTCCACTCTTTATAAAGTTTTTGTTTCTTTTAACTTGCCTTTTTCTATCTGTTTTGAGTTCTTTCATGTAACAGGCTTTCTTCAAATATCCTTAACTGCTCATATTTAAGAGTGGGAAACTCAACAACAACACCAGAGTGGAGGACCCAGATGCACAGGTGAAGCCTATCTATTATGCCTTCACCACAGAATGAATGGAATGAGCCATTTCAGTAGGGAACTCCAGCTGTTGGTCAGATTCTCCAGAAAGGATCTTTCCAGCCACGTGCCTGTAGAGTGGAGGCCTTTCTGCCAGTATATTGGAGTCCAAGTCGGGGAAGAGAGGAACATGAGGTAGGTGGATGCTTATTTAACCATTCTATTTTCTGTGCAGTACCCTGATTCTCAATGGTGTCCATGTCCCCATCTCCAGAAATGAAGTATCTCCAGGCGTCCTTCAGGGCTTGGGAGGGGATTTGGAGATGTAACTGCTTCTCAAATAGTTTTCCACCAATACAGTTTATTTTATCCTCATTTCACTCCAGTTTCCAGAGGTATCTGTTGCTACCAGTTTCTGGAACTTTGAGGGATTGTGTCAGGTAAATAGGGTTG